TATGGGTAAATATCACGACAATGTAGGTTCTATAGTGGCAACCGGAGTAGGAGAAGGACAACTCTAAATTCAAAATCTCCAAATATGGGTAAATAGTATGACAGTCTGGTCTATGCATCCATGGTTAGCAACCAGCGTAGGAGAAGAAACAGCTTTAAATCTGTATGTAGCAATAGAGAAGTATATATACGGAAAGGATTGTGGAATTCTCATTTTTTTTCCCTGGAATCCATCTTGCACATGATGAAACCATTATTTGAATATTGCCGCGATATCTGGTTTGGTGTTCAGGCTAAAATCTCGAGACTCTTAATATAACCAATGAAGAGTCTGTAATGTTATATATATCGACATATGGCATATCGACTTCAGTCACATTTCCACATGACGTGCCTTGCGTCTGTATTTTCTACAAATATTTTCAAGCCTGTTGTTCTAATGAGTTTTCATCCATTGCATCACGACCGCATAAATTTAAGTGAACTAATAAATTCTCAAGTACGTCTCATCGTCTTACTGTTGAAATAGCTAGATGTAACCGCAAGTTCTATTCTAATAGTTTCTTCTCTCGCACTTCCCACCTGTGAAATACTGATGTGGGGTCAAAGTTAGGACCACAGAAGGAAAACACGGAACACGGATTAGATGTAAGAAAGACATATTAACAACAGGTTGCAGAGATAGTGTAAGCAGAGCTTACTGTATCACTCTCCATGTCACTCAGTATATCACTCTGTGTGACTCTGTGTGACTCCCTAGAGTGCTATGTCGCCTATTTAATATAGGCCTGGAAGAGTCTTTTGTGTAGGTAGTTTCCGGTCTCAAAATACCCCCCTTCCAAAGAGTTTTCTTTTTGAAAAGGAAAGAAAAAAATAAAACTGTTAATACTTTTTCCTCTTGGGATTTACGTCGAGCGGTTGAGTAAATTTCCTTTTCCCTCCTGAGCGTCGCACTTCAAGAGAGACTTGGGGCATGTCGAGATCGAACTAGAGATCTTGATACGCGAGCCACAGCTTTTCGCGAACCATCTGGCAGTCTATGTAACCTGCAAGCACCAATGCCGTACGAGCTTGCATCTCTTGCGACTATGATGTCGAGACTAGGGTCGTAATGGATGAGGGAGATGTCTGAAGTAAGAGTTTTCTTGATCTTCTCGAATGCGTCTGGGCATTCCGGGGTCCATGTCCATGGTTTGTCCTTTTTTAAAAGTTGGTTGAGAGGCCCTCTCAAATTTTGCATGTTCTTAATGAACCCTTGGTAAAAGTTAGCTAGGCCGAGGAAGCTTTGTAACGCTTGAAAGTTATCTGGGGCCGGTTTGTTTCTGATCGCGTTGGCTCTTTCTGGATCCGACCGACGACCATCTTTATTTATAATGTGACCTAAGTATTTAATCTCTGGTAAGAAAAAGTCACACTTTTCCTCCTTGACCTTAAATCCGTATTCTTGTAACTTTTAGAATACGTTTATTGTATGGTTCCGGTGCTCTGCCGTAGTTTTAATAGTAACCGGTATATCATCCAAATAGGCTTTTGCGTAGTCAAGGTCGCCCATCATAGCATCCATGACCTGCTGGAAAATTGCAGGCGCAACCTTCACTCCAAAAGCCAGTCTGTTGTATTTGTACAACCCTCTATGGGTGTTTATGCAGAGCAATTTGGAACTTTCTTCTTCCACCTCTATCTGAAGGTATGCGTCCGAGAGGTCGATTTTAGAAAAAAAAATTTTCACCATTGACTTTATTGAAAATTTCTTCAGGGCTTGGGAGAGGATAGTGGTGATCTTGCAAGGCATCGTTTAACTCTGTGGAAAAATCAGCGCATACTTGTATTTGATTGGACTTCTTTTTACGTAGACCGTAGGTGCTGCCCACTCGCTGAAATCTGTTTTTGACAGATTACCTGCTTGTTCGAGTCTATCTAACTCTTTATTGATTTGTTCTAGAGCAGCGAAAGGGACATTCCGTTTCTTTTTGAATACCGGTTGTGCGCCGTCCTCACCTTGAACTTAGCTTTCATTTTAGTACATTTCCCAAGGCCGCCAGAAAAAACCTGGGTAAATTGTTGTTTGAGTTCCTTTTTGAGATTTACCAAATTGGACGTTGTACTTTGTATCTTGCGACAAAATGTACTCATTTGGCAATATTTTTTTATAGAGGTACAAAAAGAGAAAACTCACCTCAGTGAATTTGAGGGGAGAATAATTTTATGCACGAGTTTAACTCAGTTACATAAAAAAAAAAATTTTCGATAGTTTTTTTCGAAAACTTGAGTACAATGGTAGTACTTGCTCTTGTATTGTCAGTTTGTTTTACGAACAACTGTTTTTTTTTCTCTGTGTGTGTGGGTGTTTAGAAATCGTTCTCGTATTGGACAGACTTTAATATTCCATAGACGTTGAATCGCTAGTTCGTCATTGCTGTTTGGTATTGGAATATATGTAAACGCTGGGTGTTTAGCTTTTAAATCTCTAATGTATTAATACCAGCTTACTTTCACGTTCA